TTTAAAACATAAAGGGCAGTTATAAAAAAACATATTCATTATATGTTTTTAAAGTTTTGTTCTGTTCAACACTTAAAATAAAAATAAATAATCACTAAACATTTTTTAAATTTATATATTTTTTTTAAACTTTTTTTTCTAATAAGTTTTTTTTTAATCTTAAAATTCAGTTCCAAAGATTTTGGCATAGAAATATTTTTCACTTTTTTACAATTTGTTTTTCTTCACACTTGACTAATCTATTAAAAGTTACTTTCAATACTTTGGCATTTTTTTCAATTAGTCATAGACAATTTTTCCTTCTACCAGTTTGTGTCATGAATTTTTTAAATTTCTTTTTTCCGTTTACGAAGTTGTCTCCTCTTTTGTCTTTTCCCCCCTGTACTTTCAAACTCGATGCTCCAATCCTNAAAATATCTCACGTGATCTTGTGCTTCATTACAGATTTCCAATTACAACGTTAAATAGTTGCTAAAACCTGTTGCCTGTCTGATCTGGTCATTTTATACCACAAGAGCTAAATATTTCCCCCCAGTTTAAAAATTTTTTTCTCTATGTTTTTTCTAATTCTGAAATTCTGTCTATTGCCAATATCTACTTTAATACCATTTGTCGCAGTTTTATTGACGAGAAGGTGATGTCACATAGTGCTTCTTGATTTCCTGCAGAAACTTGCAGTACTAAGCCATCTATAAACTCCGCCTTATCCTCTACTGAAATTCAGTGCTTATTTATCTATATTATAAAAAAGATTGTTTTTTTTTCTTTTTCATTCTGCTACTTAATCTACTGTTTCGTCTTGTGACCACATATGGAAATGTAACACAGTGTTTGCCTATCTGCCTGAATATACGGAAATATCGCTCATGGGTTGCAATAGCGGCACAACTCAAAAAATCAAGTTTTGAGATAAGTGGATTTAAAGTTTTCATTGCTAAGGAAAATACATAAGAAATTCGTTAGTTTGCTTGAACGAAGATTACCTTCAAGTTGAATTATGAGTATGCTAGTAATGCTGCTGAAAAGAATGTTTATTTTCATATTTACACCTGTTCTTAGTCCAAAACGCGTGTTTTTTGAGTTGTGCTACTATTGCAGCCCAATCGAAATATGTTGACTGATAAATTACGTAATTCCATTTGTCTAGACTACACCTATACTGCAACTAGCCCCCTCTGTCTAATATAATATTGCTCATTGTAATTCTGAACTAACTAATATGCATTGAGAGAACTCTTTTTAACTCGAAGAACGTACATTCTGATTTCTGGTTCGTGTTGTAATTACTTTGGCCAATATATTCTAAACTAATGACTTTCTTTTTTTGTTTTACAGAAAATAGATTTGAGCTATAACTTATTGACTGCAATACCTGAAGATCTTTTCCACAATTTGGAAAACTTGACTGCAGTTAATCTGAAAAGAAATTATATAAGGAGTGTTACAAAATTATTTTCTCGAAATAATCGTTTGGAACATATCGATTTAAGTAATAATTTAATCGAATCTTGCCATTATATATTTCAATCGATGCAATCCTTGAAGACTATTAATTTGCATGGTAACCATCTTAGTAAATTAACAAAAAATTACTTTTTGTCTCTTCCATCGCTTGTGGAATTGATTCTCAGTCAGAATTTTATTTCCCAAATCGATTCAGAAGCTTTGTCTGAGCTAGACCGGTTACAACATCTTGATCTGTCCTTTAATAGACTAAAAACATTGTCAAGAGAATCGTTTTCCGGTGTTTCAGCTATTCAAGAAATAATTACGACTGGTAAGTACATTTAATCTCCAACCATTTGCATCTGAATTTCAGAAAATAAAATAATTTTTAAAGTAATACATTAGATATTTGCATGCTTTTATCTCACAGGAAACCAATGGATCTGTGATTGTCGCCTTTTGTCGATCAAAGATTGGATGCAGAACACAACATTATTTGACGACTTTGTTTGTTCATTACCAATAAGATTAACATCAAAATGGCTGAGAGAATTGACCAAGGAAGATTTATCTTGGCCAAAAAAAGACTGTCCATCGTATTGTGAATGCTCGTGCAGAGACGATGGATACGCAAATGTGAATTGCGCATCAAAAGGAATGACACGGGTATTTATTATTCTTTTTTAAAATCTCTCTGGTTTATTTACGCTACAAATATCATAATGTTTGGCAACGTAGAAAAAATAATGTTTTGAGGAAAATTCTGAATAGATGGTGACTAAATAGTTTGTTTAGATCATAAACCACCATTTTTCTCACCTTCCATATAAAGCTATCTCGTTTTCGACTTATATTCAAAGCTCAGCCCCGTCCCGCCCCCTAGCGGGGGCATCCGAGGTGAAAATTTATTGATCAACAAAATGATACAAAACAATTTCCAGTTTGAAAACAAAGGAAGATGAGAATTTACAATGATAAACATGAATAATAAAACAAAAATAAATGAATAATAAATAAATATAATAATATTTAATGCTTATCCTAAATTTTAGTTGACATCCTATAATTTTAGTTGACAATGACTTGTATGCCTTAGATTTGAATAGAGACGAATTTGATATAGCATTACATGATTTCTTAAGTATCTTTGAATATTACTAACAACAACAATCTGAAAAAGAATACAGTATATAACATTGAATCCAAGAGGGTAAACAGGTAAGTGAAAGATTGTAAGGATTAAAAACATTGGATCAAAAGGTAAATTAGACAAGCAAAAGCAATTTAAACGTAATAAAACATTGAAAACATAGAAATTGAACCAACAGGCTTCCAGAATATAAAATATAAAATATCATTGAACCAAAAGGGTTCCAAAGTTAAAAACAAATAAATAGCAATGAAGTGAAATGAGTAGAATTAAAAGAAAGCATTAAGAGCAATTAGCTGTNAAGTCCTTCTCGAAGGCAAATTTGTCTCAAAAGCTGAGCCGAGACTTCCCTTGCCTCCTGGATTGAGTTCAAAATTACAAAGACACGAAGTTTAACATTGGCAGTCGTAAACTAAAAATTCGGTCAGTTGTTCAAAGATGGTTAGAAAATTAAATAAAATCTGTCTAATTTATATTCTCTTTAATTATCATAATATTTAATAAAACTAAAAAAAATTTAATTAGAGGAAAATTAGGAATAGTTGATTACTGTTTTGTTCAGATCATATAGTCTGATGTAGTATAATGTCTGGTGTGAACTGTTTTGTTCAGATCAGATATTATAATATCACTATGTCTCGTACTCTGCCATATCAAAATATTTTTTTTTCTTCTTTGAATTATCATAACTTAAGTGACCTCAGAAATAAACATACGTAATATTTCTATTCATCCATTCCATAAGATTTCAACAGGGATGTGAACTTATTCTTTTTTGTGTTCAATGTTCCTATAGTTGTATCAAACTTTATGTTTTAATACAGGTTTTCTACGGT